TCATCATCATCATCATCATCCCTTTGTCTTAAATACAGTCGCAATCATTAATTGTCTCTCTCACGGTCTCGATATTTCTTACCTTTACTCCAATATTAATACATGACTTTTCCATAGGAAAAATAATAAGAAAAATTATCAATGAATTCATCATCTTCAATCTCTCCCTCTCCTCTCTCTCTCTCACCTTAACATTATTTTGGAAAATCGCCCTTCACCTCATCATCCTCATTACAATCATTATCACTGACTAATTTAATTTAATTTAGTTCTAACGTTAAAATCATTATAAACTAAGGTAACGCATCCATTAATACGTTCAATGTATTTCCCATTATAAATGATTGTATTTAGTCAAATTTTGTTTGTATTATGTGAGAGACTTTGGTTAACCTTGGATAATGAAGGTTTTAAATAACCAGTTTTTTTCAACAATTTACAAATTGCTTTATTGATACTCTGTAATTTACTCACACACTCACTCTCACAAATGGGAGAGAGAGAGAGAGAGAGTCAGCAAGTTACGATTAATGAATGAATCAATTTGAACAATCAACTAAGCTAAACTAATGTGATTCCCAATTTTTGTTATTTATTTGAGTGCGTGAAGCCCAAAAATTAAGGTTTTAATCATAATTACACTGATTTTTAAGCTAATATACTAATTGTTGGGAAATAGTTTTCACATGTGAACAAGATATTAAAGGTGAGAAACAAGAAACAATCAAGGAAACAACAATTAAAACAAAACGATTCCTAATTGTTACCATTAAACTCACACAAAATAACAAACAATCAAAGTTTATGATGAGAGATAATGATGCTGATGATGATCAACTTATTGTTCCAATTGAGACAATCAATACTAAATGTAACAATTAATAATCAATCACTTCAATCACATGTTAATCATGTTAACCATTGAAATTAATTGATTAATTATCAACATTAATGAAGAAAGGAAAAGTTAAATTTCAAGTTTCATTTTCGTGTTGAATGAAAATATATTAAGAAAAAGGAAAACTCAAAATTACCTGTTACCTGAATATTAATTGTGATTATCATGATGATGATCATGATTTGTTGTTGATGATCAACATCAATTGATTATCTTTACTCAATTTTCATATTGTTAAATCTGATTACTTCATGAATAAAATGATTAAGACTGAACATGAATCTACAGGGAAACCAAATTAAAGCTAAATTTTCAATCAATATTCAATCAGCTTTTTTTTACCTCTTCTTACAATGAGGATCTAATATATTAAACTAATAGCTAACAATTTAAATCATGATTATCTTGAGACTTTCTGAGTTTTTTGTAATAATCATTTCAATGAACTTTTTTCATTCATGTAATCACATAGACTAATATACTCACATGTATCTACTCACACACCTTATTAAGCTTTTAACTTTAATTACATGATAATAATCATGATAATAGTTATGATTAAAAAGCTAATAGAAACACAAGAAAATTTTTCCAATTGAAAACCAAACCTAAAAAATTATTTCATTTCATTTGATTTTATTTGATTGTTTCCTTTCAATCCGATACTCACGTTACCAATCATGATTAAAGGTTAATTGTTATCACTATTAGTTGATTGTTGTGGTTTAATTTTAATGATGATGAAAGAGGAGTGATAATATCTTGTAATAGCAAATCAAATTTGATTTGGTTGTCATTCAATATTATTAACACAATTGGATTAACGGGATTGTGAATTTTTTCCCCCATTTTCGTTGAAAGATTAAAACAATTAACTGATCAACCCCAATGATTAGGATTAAGTAACACTCTTAATCTTGTTGATTAGAGTTTACAAAAGTTTAGGATTAACTTTGTTTCCCTCTTATTGTTATTACAAAACTTTCATCACTTCATCAAACTGATCATTATCTTCATCAGCATCTTTATCATCATGATTATCTCTCTCTCTCTCTCTCATCATGATAAACTTTTTTTCAGTTGATTATGATTTTTTTTTCATTGCAATTCGTTGATTGCTAATATCATTTCCTCACGAAAATGATTAGCAAACCAACAGTAATCAAGGTAAAAAAAGCAACATCACTTTTTGACATTTCTCATGATGTTACCTGTCAAAATTGATGATGAAACAAGATGATGATAATACCTTGTGTGTGTCCATATAAGAAGGAGGTAGTGGGTGGGGAGAGAGGGAGTGAGTATCATCTCATCATGTCATCAAGAGGTAATACTTTATTACTATTATTATTATTATTACAACTACTGGAATCATCATCAACCTGGACATTCAAGAAATCGGAGAGATGGAACCAGAATTATTATTATTTATTATCCTCCCTCATCCTCCTCCCTATTACCATGAGATTTTGTATGTTGATGACCCTTGAATTGGTGTAGATGATAATTTTTATGAATGAAAAGTTAATGATTATCATTGGTCCTCTTCATCATCGTTTTTATCATCATCTTAAAATTTTGGGCAATGATTATTTTCATAATTTGGGTCCTCATCATTAGACGACTCATCGTTGCATAACCAATCTTCAACTCTCTCTCTCTCTCTTCTCTCTTCTTCTCTCTCGTCTTTATCATCATCGCTGCTCTCATTCTATCATCATCATCATCATCATTTTCATTCAAACAAGAGGCTATAACTTGATGAAGTTGAGGGTGAATCAGAATCATCATCTAATGATGAATGTTTAAAAATCTCAGTAAGTGATATCTTCTCTCTTTCTCAATCTCCCAATCATTTCTCTCTCATCATCATCATGTAAAAGATAGTGAGAGAGACACTAAAGCAATGGTCAACCAAGCATAACAAGAAAATGACCAAGAATTGCTTCTTATAATCTTTTTACTATCTATGTATATGATTTCCTTCATCATAATTTTTATCTTCAACCTCTCTCCCTCTCATAACAAAAAAGTCCATCAAGAGAGAGAGAGAGAGAGAGAGAGAGAGAGAGAGATACTCAGGTCATTCTGAGTTAATCATCATCATCAGAAAACGTAGTTTACCTTGATTTTTACTTTGCAAACTCTTTACCAACCATCGTTTCTCAATTACTATTCTGGACAGATAATAACAATCATAATAATAATGATGATGATAATCAAGATTGTCTCACTCAACTCACATAACCATGTTGATAATGATATAATAATAATAAACATAATAATAATGGTAACAATAATTGCCAAAAGTTTGCAAAAATATTTTTTGCAGGTCAATGTAAAGGCGATTCTGGTGACTATTTTTTTTCTGGTCACCTCCCAATTCCCCTTGTTTCAAGATAGATTAACCCCTCAGGGTGATTAAATAATTATCACAACCATGAAAAACTAAAAAATGGTAAAAAATAATCAACAAAATTGACCAACCATTGACAGAATCGTTATTATCTATCAACAAAAATTTATAGACTCAGAAAAATAATTATCATGATAATGATTCATAGGAACTGATTATTATTATTATTATATGATGACAATGGGTGAAAGTGTTTACCTGTTGATGATGAGCTTCATATAATGAGCTTATCATCCTGTGCCACTGGACAATACCCAGATAATTGTCCGCACTCATTAATGCGTAACTATCACTACTCACTCTCTCTCTCTCTCTCTCTCTCTCTCTCTGTCTCTCTCTCACTCAAATGATGAATCAAAAAAATTGTGATTAGTGCCACACCTTTATCATTGAAATTCATTGAACATTCTCATCTCATATTATCACTTGTAGTTGAAATTTTCAATTGAATTGATTGTGATAATCATGAATCACAATCAACAACTTTGATAAAAAGGTTAACTCCTTTTTTCAATTGATAGTAATTCAAAAAGTGAAGTCAAACAAGTGAATCTGATGATGATGATAAGATGATTTCTTTCCGCTCTTTACCTGAGTTTTTTTCCTCATCCTTCAACAATCAATTCCACCTACAACCTCCCTCATCTTCCTCTCTCTCTCTCTCTACAAAATATCATTGGAATTAATAAGTGATACCTGATGATGATGATGATAAATAATAATGACAAGGGGATGAAGATGATACGAAGAAAGAAAAAAAAATTATCTCTTTTTGTTTATTTCGCCAGGTAACTTTTTTCATTTACTGTTTAACCTTTCATTGTTAATCCGGTTGTTTTGTTTAATCATAATTGTTAATTGTTCAGGGTGGAGATTGAATTAGTCTTCTGAAATGATTGGTTTGATCACTCTCAATCCATTCATGATCATCAAGCCTGAACCAATCATTATAAAGTCAATTTTTCCCCTTCAATCATCATTATCATTTTTTATTGTATCTTTTCATCATCATCATCATCATCTTCATTTCTCTCTCTCTCTCTACAAAATATCATTGGAATTAATAAGTGATACCTGATGATGATGATGATAAATAATAATGACAAGGGGATGAAGATGATACGAAGAAAGAAAAAAAAATTATCTCTTTTTGTTTATTTCGCCAGGTAACTTTTTTCATTTACTGTTTAACCTTTCATTGTTAATCCGGTTGTTTTGTTTAATCATAATTGTTAATTGTTCAGGGTGGAGATTGAATTAGTCTTCTGAAATGATTGGTTTGATCACTCTCAATCCATTCATGATCATCAAGCCTGAACCAATCATTATAAAGTCAATTTTTCCCCTTCAATCATCATTATCATTTTTTATTGTATCTTTTTCATCATCATCATCATCATCTTCATTTCTCTCTCTCTCTCTCTTCCTCCATCAAGGATATTTACCCCTGATAGCCCTTGAAAGAGAAACAGAGAGTGTAAAAGAAAGAGAAAAAGAAAGACTAATATTATCAATGAAAATTTTTTTTTTCTCTCAAAGAAAAAAAAACTTATAGGACGTGAGTTGAATTTTCTACCCACTAGATGGCGTTGACTTTGATTTTCTTTCTCTCACTCAAACTAAAAGTAAGAAGAAAACTTTTTGTAAACAATTCAGTGTAACTTTAACTTCAATCGTGTTCACATCAATAAAATTTTACAATCAATATAATATAACAATTAAACTTGTATATATATTTATCTATATCAATGATTTCCAGTGATTAGTTAATTATAAACATACAATAATTTTAATCACAACAGTTGCATTTGTGTTAATTTAGTTTTCACATTTTTATGATCAGTGGTTGACATTTTATTAACTAATAATCAACATCTTTAATCAAATGATTAGTTTGGTTTTTGTTTTTTTCTCCTTCATCATCACCATCAACAACTAATTAACTAACTACAATTTACTATTAATTAGTTAATCATTATCATTTTTACCAGATAATTAAATCGTTGTTAATTAATTAACAATCACAATGATAATATAATATAAAAACTAAACTTGTAACTAATTGTTTAACTGAAACAACCAAAATCCCAACAATCAATTGAACTTCAATCATCAGTTAATCATCATAATTAAAACAACAATCAATCAATTAATCCGTTAATCCGTTAAAAAAAAGTGATTGTTAATCCAATAAAATATATTGTTGTTAATTGTTTGTCTTATTATTAATTAATCCAACAGGTAGCAAAGTGATTTTTTTTTGGTACAAATTAAAGTGATAAAAAAAAAGCAATCATCATCATTATCATCATCAATTTTAATCATCATTGACATCATTACCTTTTTAATTATCATCTAATATAATGTTAATTGTCCTAATCAGTTTTACACAATTGGATCATCATCATAATCAAGTGATATCAGTAGTTAATTACAATCAACCAGCAACAATGATATGTGAACATGATTTATCAACTTAATTATATTAATTACTTTGATCATCATTGGCTTAAACAAGCTACAATTTAAATCAATCAAATTAGTTGTAACATCTCAACACAATTAACAACAACTCGAACAACAACAATTTCCGAATGGTAATTTAGCTAAACAATTAAAACGATTTTTTTTGTTGTTGTTGTTTCAATTAATCAAATGATTTGTGATTCCAATTTAATAATATATATCCTAATATATCCCGTAAAGTTTTTCTAATTATTTGTTGTGGATAATCAACAATTTAAAATCTAATAAACAATTACGACGAGGAAAACAGTTTGTTTTTGATCACAATTAACAGAAAAATCGTCAAAATCAATTTTCGTGTTGATTGAAATTGATTGTAATTTGTTAAGTAAAAAAAAAAGTCAATTGGACACGTTACAATGGAGACTACATCAAGTCATCAAGAAATGACCGGGACACCTTCACCATCACCGTCACCCGAACCATCAACAGAAACAACCACAACGGTAACACTGATTGAACCAAATTCACCTTCAACCTCACCTCAACCTTTATCAACAACAACAACAACAACACCACCATCACCACCACCAACAACAACAACATCAATAACGGTAACCCTAATTGAACCACCAATAGTTTCACAATTATCCTCACCACAAACAACACCAACAACAACACAACCAACAACAGGAACAACATTGTCCAAATCAAATGCATCACCTAAACTATGCTCACCTTCATTTTCATCTTCAAGATCATCTTCATCGACAACAACACCATCACCATCACCACCATCGTCACCATCATCACCACCATGTTCACCACCTTCGAATCCATTGTCATCAATGGTAAAATCACCTTCCACCGACTCAACAATTCTCGCACAAAAAGAGCACGAGGTAAGTTTTTTTCATAATCCAAATCGAAACAAAAAAAAAGTTCTAATCCTAAACAAAAAAAACCTCTTCCTCTTAATCTTCACACAATCTACTTAATCTAATTAGTCTACTGAATAGACATTCAATTAATTATGATTAATCATGTTCTCAGACACGATTAGTTGATTAGTTAGGTTAAAATTGTTGTTCTTTCCTCAATAGTACAATTAACGTTCAATTTGGTTTAATCAATTAATCAGCAATTTGATGAGACATAAATCACAGAATTTACATTAAAACAGAAATTAGAACTTTTTAGCAATATAACAAATTCGATGAGAAATAATAATAATAAGAAAAAAAAAAGTTCTAATTGAAATGGAAACTTGAATAATCGAGGTTAATATAAATAATAATAATAATATAAGAAATTGTCTCGATTCCAAGTTAATCAACATTTTAAATTGTCTATTTGTAAGCTAATTAAGTTCAATATCTTGTTCAGCATTAAACTAAATTAACTAATTTCTCAACCTAATGATTAACTTTTCCAAGGAAAAGAGAGACAGAGAGATGAACAATTATAATTGAAACTAAATTAACTTACAATCAATTGTTAACAACCACACACATACAAATTATGATTTACCGATTATGATGATAACTTAATATACTTTAAGGTAAATCCATTGACAGATTATTATGATAAATGTTTTCCCATTGATATGTAAATTGTCATACTAATCATAATCATAATCCATTCATCATAATAATCAATAGTAAATCTTATTGAAAGGTTAGTCTTATTGTTACTTTTTGTTGTATTGGATAATAATAAATATCAATTGACCATAATAATGGACAGATAATAATCAATAATAATAATAATAGTAAACCAACAATCAACTAAATTGTTAAGTACTTATCATTATTATGATTAGTAAATGATGATCATCATTTATCATAACAATATCTATATATCAACATGTATGTATTATGTATATTTAACTACAGGTTGACCAATCAACTTGATTTAATTGGTTGGTCAGTTTATTTTTTATTGGAAAATTTTTTTAAAACAATTAATTAGATCAATGATTTTAGTGATTTTTTTTTTCTCACTGATTATCAACATTGATTAGTTAATATATGAAGAGAGAGAGAGAGAGATGGTTGGAAAAAGTTTTAAAACGATTGAAATTTGCCTTTAATTACAATTGATAATCTAATTAGATTTAACTATTTATGTGTTCAATCAATAATCTACTATTTAATCATTTGAAAAGTCAGTCCAATTAATAATCAAACTATTAAATCAGTAAACCTGATCAACCGGACTTGAGGGGTTAAGGTAAATGATAGTTTACCTTTTTTTTTTTGCTCATTCTTGTTGATTGTTGACCAAATTGTTGCCATTACATGAAAGATTATGATTAAGGTTTAGATTTACCTGATTTGTTGATAGATGGACTGAGTACTAAATTTGATCCATTTTCCAATTGCTTGTCATCATCATCATCTTTTTCATCATCCTCATCTTTTTTCATGTGTTTTACTGTGAAATGATGATTATGATGATGATACCGTTTGTTGATAAGTTTTTTGATTGCGTTGGTTGAAAAATAGCCTCAAGGGGTCAGTTTGAATTCTTAATTCAGTTTAGAATTATAAAAAATTAAGGAATCAGGTCTTTTTAATTTCATTCATTGAAATTAAATTAAATCTTTCAATAATCATCATTATAATCAATAGGGAGAGAGAGAGAGAGAGACTCATCATCATCCTCATCAAAATTGATGATTAACTAATTGATTTAATCAAGGATTAGTTGATAATGATGATCAAGTAAAGGTCAAATCATCACACACACGCTTAGAAATACAGTCAATAGCAATTAATTGAATTAAATACCCATCATATTAAAACAATTAGTTGATTGTTAATGAACAAAACAAGAAATTATATTTTTGTTTCAACTGCAATCATTTCAATTGAACAACAACAGCACCAAAAACGTTTTAATTACTTATTCAATTAAATAAATAATGAGTTAATTGTAATTAGTGAAAAAGTGACCCAACACATAATTTCAATCATAATCAATGATAATAAACGTGACCTTTAAAATGACCTTGAGTTTTTTTTTACAACTAATTTAATAACAATTGAAATGAAAAAATCAAATGAATTAAATGATTAGTGAAAAGTTTGAGATAATTTTGTTTTTCTTTCTACTTTTTCATTGAAAACTAATTGTGAAAACTTTTCAAGGTAAAGTCGTGGTCATTATAATCAACAGGTAGATATTAAATCCGTTTTAATTGGTCAGTTAACAATTAATTATATTATCATTATCGTTATTATATATCAATGATCAAAACAGTAACAATTTAAAACATCAACAGAAACAATTAGCTGGCAAAACCAGAATATGAAAACAAATATAATATATGAATTACTATTATATTATTGTACTAATAACAATTAGACTATCAAGGTTATCAAATTAATTAGTAAACTATTTGATCGTTCAGGCAATTAGCCACAATTGGCGTTAAAGTGGCCAATTTAATTGCTTTTGAAATTAATAAATCATCAACATTGTACTTGATTATATGATAATATTAGTTGATTAACAAACAATATTATCAAAAATTAATTGTTATTAGTTTGAAAATTAATAGTTAACGATAACAATTTAAAAAAGTACACACTGGATAAGGTGATTATGAGTGTGAAAATTTTAGTGTCACAACATTTCAACATATGATATTATTATATATATTTAATTGTCGGTCTGATTATTACACTGAATCTGGGCTAATTTAATGATCACATATTGTGACCATCAAATGATAATAATAATAATTGTTAAATGGTGATAATAATGATAATAAAATTAAATGTGGTATGATGATGATGATGATTATTTGATAATATGTATTGGCCATTTTCTGTCAATGGATAAAAATAAAGCGGAAAATGTTATTACAATTTTTACCTTTTTCGCCATTTTTTTTGGCGTAATTTCTGTTTGTATGTGTGTCCACTATTAGGAAGACTATTGGTCAGTTGCCTGTATTTGGGTCTCTTTCTGTTTTCTTATAAAAAAGATACTTTTCTCTTCACCCTGGACAATTGACCCAAACAGTGTTTACGTTTGTGTGATTGTTTAGGTGATTTGATTTCTTTTTTCTTCTCTCTCTCTCTCTCTTTCTCTCTCATTGGACTGGTCATCTCTATCATCATCTCCCTCTCTTCACACTGATTTACATAAGATTGACTTTTTGGTCCATCTCATTTTCCCTCATAAATTTAACAATCACCTTTAACCCATAACAGATTGACTTTTCCTCTTTACTGGTCACTTTTTCTTACCTTTTTTTATGCTATTCTTTTGTCCATTTGACCTAATTTCGAGACTATTACATGATAATGATGAGAACTGATTATATAATAGATTAAGCGAATGAGAATCGAATAGCTAATCAGAATCTGTGTTATCATTTTCACTCTTAATTTGTTGTTAATCTCTTCAATATATCTAATATTTATTACCTTGCAATTGTCAATAATAAATTATTGTGGTTATTATTTGAGATACTAATCAGATTGATGAGGATAATGATGATGATCATCATCTTTCAACAATAATTTGACTTCTCCTTCCACCTCAGAATTTTGTTTACTCTAACAATCTCTCAATCAACACACACAAATGATAGATTGAAGAAGAAGCGAAAAAAAAGTTTACATCAACAAGAAGTTGTTCATGTTTACTGTTTATCTTCAGGGATAATCCACTCTCTCAAATGAACCTTATACTTGATGAAATACAATAATAATAATAATAATGTTTCTCTTTTCTCTTTCATCTTCCTTATCATCATGATGATGATGATACATTTACAGATCTCGAAACTAGTCGAAGAAATTAAAAAACTCCGGGAGCAAATAAAAACTATGCAACATGATAAACCCACTGATGGAGAGGGAGTAGGAGGAGGAGGTGAAGGTAGTATACCTGATGAAGATTTAGAGGAAACGGAAACACCCGTTTCACCTTCAAATTATAACAATTTATCACCAATGCAATTGAATACAAAAAGCTTTTCATCTTCATCCTCTTCATCTGCAACCACAACAACAACAACTTTAACCTCAACCAATCTAATAACAGGTCATCTTTATCATCATCCATTACACCATTCGCATCATCATCATCATCATCACACTGATTTATTATCAACAACAGCAACAACCAATTCGGGTCCATTAAATTTTCACCATCATCAACCTTTGGAAAATATTATCCTTAATGCCGGTGGTGGGGACAGATCATCTTCAGGTACTTCTGGTAACCCGTTATCTTCTTTGAGCACCAATTCAACTATAAGAGGTGGTACAAATTTAGCTCCCTTGGAAAGTCAACATCGATCTCATGAAGTTTTCCTTCAAAAATTACAAGAAGCCCTAAGGCAAAATGTAGATAAATATATGAATGAATCATTGAACACTGGTAACATTTCCCGATGTGTTCGTGAACTTTTATCCATTCATAATATTGGTCAACGGTTATTTGCTCGTTTTGTTTTAGGCCTCTCTCAGGGAACCGTTTCCGAGTTACTCTCAAAGCCCAAACCGTGGGACAAATTAACGGAAAAAGGCCGTGACTCGTATCGTAAGATGCATGCATGGGCTGCCGATGAGAATTGTATCAATCTCCTCAAATCACTGGTTCCCCGTAAAGGTAAGCCCATCAAACACTTACGCAAATATATACAAAAAAAAATAACGCTACTTAAAAGTCTGATAATATTTCAACATTAATCAACATAATCAACCTGCGATCGCAATTACAATCGTTAAAGTCCAATATTTAAAGTTTTCACAGTCAAGGTAGAGGTTAGAAAAAAATCCGTTACATAATCTGACTCTCTCTCTCTCTCTCTTGGTCTCTCTTTCTTTCTTATAATGATGATAAAAAATATCTTCCTTGTCTTTCATTCATTTGTCTATCTGTCGTTTTCCTAACGATCGGCCATTTATTTACTCGAATTGAAAAATGGACTTTACACCAAAGAAGAATTGATTTTGCCTTCACTTTTTTTTGACGGTCACAGATCATTTTCTATCCTAAACTTTGGCATATCATCTTTAAGACTAACTATTTATCGAAGGTTAAATAACATTAGGACTTTGTCGAACTCACAATATTTCGATTGACTGAAGACTTTTTGTCATCTTCTTCTTCGTCTTCCTTTTGTCAATGATATTATTATACAATCTACTTATTCCCACATATTTTATCAACCAATATCTTCAGTTTGCCTTTTGTCAGTCTCTCTCTCTCGCTCTCTCTCTCTCTTCATCATCCCTCCCTCTCTTTATCATCATCTTCTCTCTCTCTCTCCCTTTCTCCTTCTAATATATATTATTTCTGATTTGGGAGCTTTTCTTTTTCTTCTTCTTCCTTAAGATATAACCAGTAATCGGCTCATAAAACGTTTTCTCAATGATATTAACATTCGGGATTATCTTTGCTATTCAATTGATCCCTTTCCAAGTTAAATCATCATTATCATCATTCATAGATTGTTAATATTGTTATTATTGTTGCGATAAAAAAAAAGTTGCATTCTGATTAGAAATGGCTAATCAAACTAATCATAATTATAATTGCAATGCAAATGGTAATTTAGTTGTTTAATAAACTGTTAACCATAAGAATTATCATTTTCATTGCAGTTTTATGATAATTTTGCTTGTTTCTCTCTTCATCATTTTCTTTGATACATTTTCACAATTTTCTCTCAATAGATTACCAATAATTCATGAAGATAACTCAGAGTTACTTTCATGATGCTAGAAATGTGTTGATTTTCAAATGATAGTAAATCATTGCAATCGATTAATATAATTATCTTAATCAATATCACTTATCAAGTTTTGAATTTAGACTAATATATAAAATGAAGTTTTTCATTTTGGTGAAGGAGATAAAGATGAGGATGCTAATTAATGAGGGTGGAAGAGTTATCGGAAATGTCAAATGAGGTTGAATTGATATTGAATTACATGATGTTTGATGATCGTTGATGAAAATAGTTTTCTTCCAATTATTTATGAGTATTGAATGAGCGAGTAGGTAGACACTTATATACATTTGATACAAGATGAAGATGATGATGATACACGCAAATAACTGAGCTAAGGTTAGAGTGATGAAGATCATGATGATGTTAAGCTTGGGTAACCCTCTTTTCTGCATCCTTACCATCATCCACATCATCATCATCACCACAATCACCACCACACTGAATGTTTAATACTTGAAAATAGCCACAAGCAACATGACAACAGGTAGGAAAGAGGCTTCAAAATGATGATGTTGAAAGTTGATTAGTGTTAACGATTACCGTTTTTTTTTTCCTTACTTTTAATCATCAACAGAAAACTTAATTAATAGATTGGATAAACAGATAAGATGAAAGTTAAAGGAGTTGAGATAAAAATAGCAAAATCAATAATAATAATCACGATGAAAAGTGATATGTAAAAGGATGATGATTATATTCAATTGATTAGATTTCAATGTTGGGATGAAAAAAAAATTTTACTTCAACTATTGAAATTGTATTGATTGTGATGTTTGCACGAGTTTATGCAAATAAATGATGATAAAGTTTGATCATCAAGTGTATCATCATCATTATCATCAATGTAACCATGAAAATATTGCATAAATGATGAAGGACGAAGTTGGGTTAACATATTTTCATTCATATCTATTGCTTTTTTATTGACATAACTGTAATATCATGAAAACCACAGAGAGAATGAGAGTGAGAGAGTGAAATATTTGACAATTTTTCATCTTACTCTTTTTTTATATCGCATATATTAAAGTGATATTGCTCAACCTTTATCATCATTATCATTCCTCATCCTTATCCTCATCATTTCCTTTTCCCTTTTCATTTTTTTCTTTTCTCTTCCTCTCTGTCTCTCTCTCTCTCTTCTTTCTCTTCCTTCCTGCCTTCCCCTTTAACTTACAAGGCATTAACTTTGATTGAATGAAGATGATGATGATCAAAGATGAAGATGAGGTAATGGTGATAACGGAAGCAACAACAAAAAAAAGTACAAGATGAATAAACAATTGGTTAGACAATGATGATGATGATGATGGTTGTTGTGTATGCATGTTATCATTATTGTTATTGACTCTTATTTGTAAAATAATATCATGAGTGAATAATATTCAAGAAATTTGTATCAACATGAACAATATTATCTTGAGTATTAATACCATAGGAAAATGGTTAAGGATTTTTATGATGAAAATGGGCAATCATGTGAAAATGAAGCTAAAAATGTTTAGTGTGTTTTTTTTGCCTATTATTTTGTGATCCCATTTTCATCATCAGCATTTATATATATCTGGCCATCATCATCATTATGATCATCATGACTCCTTTGATGCCGTATGATGATAAGAAGGAGTGAGTGAGTGAGAGAGAGAGAATGATTTTTTTTTCAAATCAGTAAGGCCATTAACTTGAGTATTTCCTTTACGAAACATTGACCGCGACATTGGTTTGTACATATACACACACTCGCAATAATAGATTACATTTTATGTATGTGAGTGTGTGCATTTCAATGATATGTGGTCATGATGATGAGAGTGAGAATGCTGAGTGATATTTATTATGGTGATAGAGGAAGAGAGAGAGAGAGAACCTTCTTCTCACCTTTGCTCATTTCTTTTCGTGAAGAAAATTGTTTTTTTTTCTCTTTCTCTATGAAAGAGATTGACTTTTGCCAGAGAATTACTTACATTTTTCCTCTTCTCTCTCTCTCTCTCTCTCTCTCTCTTTCTATTGAGTATCTACGCCTAATCTTCCTCATCCTCTGTCATCTCTTCCCCCATCTTCCTCTCATCATCTATCTGTATTTACCTTTTAGTATTTTGTTGTACCCATTGAATAATAGCAAAAATCCATTGACAAAATGAATTCTACCTTTTGATAACTGTTCAGTCAATTGAAACAACAAGTTTTTGATTCCAATGAAATTCAATGATTTTCGCATCATCATCATCATCATCAAACCTCCTCCCTCACTTATGAACATGAAGTGATGTTTGACGGATTTTGGAAGATGATCTTTGTGGGCGTATGATTTTCTCTCTCTCTCTCTCTCTACCTTTTCCATTTTTTACTATTCATCCTTCGCTCCTTTCCAATGATTTCCTATAGGAAGATGAAGATGAAGATGATGATGAACCATAGAAAAGAGAAAAGAAAAAAAAAGAAATACATTGTGTATATTTAGTCATCATCCTCTCCTGATGATGATAATAATAATCGGACGACTATGATTTCTTTTCAAGCACCAACGACAATCAGTTAATGATGAAAAGAGGATGATGATGATTAACAAATTAACTTGGGCGAGGTTACTTGATATACACTCTTTCAATGATAAACCATTTGACATTTTTTTTTGTCAAATAGGATCTTTGATTCATTTCATCATCATCATCATCATTAACGTTACACTTGTATCATTTCAGATAAAAGGACAGACACAAACTTTCAATTTAAAATTGAATTCAAACAACAATATTTTAGGTTAGGTTACTGTTATTGTTACCTGTTCATTGATGATGAAATTAGTTTTCAGCTTGATGTAAGGTTGACAGGATGATTTTCAACAATTAGGAAAACCTATCATTATAATTATCATGATAATAATCATCAACCTATTATCATTAATACAACTCCCACAATCCATCAATTAATTTATTCAATTATCACCTTTCGTTGGGTTGTAAGTAATTATTAAAGCTTTATTTTCATCACCTCACCCTTGATGATGAAGAAGATGCTGAATATCAGATGATAATAATCAACTATTGGGCTTCATCAATTGATAATTAACTAACCCACCTACGTGATTAGTAAATTAGTGATGAAATAAACAATATTTGAATAGGATTTTGATATTTATCTCTCTCTTTGCATTTATTTTCAATGAATATTTGTTACCATGAATATGAAAGGATTTTCTTGTTCATTCACAATTTTCATGATTAATTTGATTTTTTTTTCTCATGATTGATGTTGATACTTTTGGAACTGATGATGCGCTCATCTTTTACTGATTTTGCTGTTTCTTTTATATCCATAGATGAAGATGGTGGTCATGTTTCGAGTTTTCTTTTCCATTCAGTTATCTGATTTTCGGGCTTGATGCCAAAAAAGAGGCAAAAAAGTTACACCGCCGCGATTAATATAACATGTAATCTTTGAGACTTTATAAAGAAGTTTAGAAATTGATAGAGAGATGATGATGATCATCATATTTGCATGTATCGAGTTGAGTAGAGGGAAAATAATTCTCAAATATCGACGTCAGGTTATAGGTGATGATGATGATTACGATAAAAAATGATGATGACAAGACTTGTAACGAACAGAATCTGTAATAAATTCATAGATATAGATCAGTTGAGTTTGTAGTTTATCAGGGGAGAAAATGAGTTGTATTCATGCTCAGTGAGATAAATCTCATTTCGAAAAGCAAGACTAGGAAATGAATGAGAAAAAGTTCTGAAAAAGGGGGTGGAATTAAATTGAACATGATGATGACTTTTGCTCTCTCTCTCTCTCTCCCTTTTAAAGCATAGGTTCATTTAATTGTGCTACCAATGATGTACCATGAAGAGGATGATGATGAAGA